ATAATGAGTACTTGATATCTTGATATGGATGTCCCTGTTACCGGATACGTTCCAATATCAACATATATTTAAAGAGATTGTTGTTTTTCTACTTCAAAATCACCTCTCTTGACTGCAAACTTTGCTGCCTTCATATATTTTATAAATAACTACGGATAGATTCACTATAACATATCCTGTCTGACCAGGATTTTCCTGCACAGGACGTATACACTATGACGTTGAATACAAAGATAAAATACTATTAACCATCTTTATTCCTCTCAAGATTGTAAACACTGCCACCTTCGTGTATTTGATACATCAATACGGATATAATTAGTACTCGATTTCCTGAGCAGGATGTCCCTGCTCAGGACCGTATACGCTAACAGCTTAAGTTATAAACTATACGGCATATAATCATTCTTATAAGTCGTGGTTCTATTTTCTCAATTAATACAACCATTTGAACGACCATATACACTGAACATTATCTTCCTTTAGTTTATAAATGTATAAATGAAAAATATCTGCGTTATTTCCTGATAAGAATGTCCCAGATGAAGACCATATACACTAAACACTATAAAATGTCCAACTGTTATATCATGCTCCAAGTCCGGACGAGTCATGACGGTCCGGTCCTCACCAGCCCCGGTCCTGCTCAGCCCCGGTCCCAGCGAGAGACAGCGCAGCTCAGATTTTGGGTACGTTGGAATTAAGAACTATTGCGGTGATGTGCAATGCATTTATATCAGGTTTTTTAGTTGGATAGTATAGCTGAAACATTTATCTATTGGGATTTACAAGTTTCGTTGGCGATATCAATGTTCAATTACTATAAACCACGTGAGTACTTTGAAAACTTCCCGTCCTCCATTTCATACATCTTTATATAGGAGCTTTGCAGGAACTCTATCGTTATAAATCTCTGATTTAGATAGAGTTCCTACAGGAATTAGCTATCCGGAAGAATACATGCACCGTACTAACTGCTAGGGAAGTTATTTTCTCCTTTGAAAACGAAATGGTGTGCAATGCGCATGCGCTAGTAGAGGGAAATCCCTGAACAATACGTTGGTCAGACAGGTAGAAATGCCGATGATTATCTTAGATTTAATCATTTTTATGAAACTATTTCAGCCAAATCCGATCGTTATTTTCATAAGGAGTCTCACTTGATATGTTTATGTAGTATTTAAAAAAAAAAAAGACAAAAAATAGTTACTTCAGCGTGATGCCCCTTTAATATTGTATAAATTTATAATATTTAAATAATGTCACTGAATAAGAACCTTTTAGCAATACTGACTGTATACGGGGAAACGTTCGCTCGGCAGTAAACAAGCCCTCACATAAGTGATGATACAATCCTTTTTTTTTTTTGCCCAGTGTTAAATTTACCCACTGCCATCCTCTATATATATAAAATATTGCTTTGTCGTCAAACGCTAGTTTTAGTGTTGTGTTCACCATTGTGGACAAAAGTTAATACCGGGCAGACGTTTCCCAGTATACAGTAATATTTCGGGTGTCCCAGTGGTATAATGCATGGACAAGGTAGTTCAGTGGTGCGTGACCGCCAGAGAGCAATAGACCGATATAGTGTTTAGGTTCGAGCCCTGGTATGTCTATAGAGTTTCCTGCTAGATCTCTCTGGTGACAGGATGGTTTTCTCAGTCCTTCGGTTTCCTCCATCATAAAAATTCCCCCGTCTCCTGTAAATTAATGTAAATATTGTAAACACTTTTCCCGCTCGGCCATCTCTGAAAAGAGCTGATGGCTCAAGATGGTAACCGAGGGTAAATAACGTTCATTATTATTATAATATTAAAATCTTTTATTATATACGGCAAGGGTGGATTTTATTATATTTTCCTCGAAAAGAATTTATTAACAGATATATGCAATTAGGAGAAATATTTTATTGACAGAAATATGTTATTAACAGAAATATACACCAAAATATGCAAATAAGTTAAAATAATTAAAGAAATAAAACTATTAAGTTATTAACAGACCTTTATGCAATTTTAGTGGAATCCATTGGACAGTGACAATTGTAATATAGGTAAACATGTGGTCGTGATTTAATTGTTTTTATTTAATTTAAAAAATATATCTATCTACTCCAAATAATGACACGGTACTTGTTATTGTAATGACTCATATGTTTACATTATTATAATTTTGTATGATGTCACATGTTTGTGAGAGGCCGAGTATGAAGCTGTATTTAATAAAAAATAAGTGAGAAGACAAAAATGTTATATTTAAGTTGTTACCATTAATTTCATATTATAAATTTATGAGATTATGTGACCACGAATAATGCTTTTAGGTATTGCTTTTTTTCTATTTCAGGTGTGGGAATATAATATTAGAATAACACACATACCTCAAACAGTTCGTTTAATTAATGTTGTGTGAAATCCATGCTTAACAAAATTTCTATCGACAGCACTCCCAGAGTGTTTACCAATGGCGAATAGACGGTACGAGTTATCGGCCTTGATATTGTATGACACCCGGTGAGGGCACTGCGAAATCGGTAACATATTTTCCCGCCACTGGGAGTCGGCGGTCCCTTTACTTTAGGTCTATGAAAGTATATAGAAGTTTGTTGGTGAAGAAATAGTTATAGATGAGCTTATGAATTATTCGTTCGAAAAGTTTGCCAATGCAGCGAAGTAAAGAAATGGGTCTGTAGTTATTTGCCAATTCAGATTCCCCTTTTTTGAAGTTTTATTTAGCTGAAAGAACCCTAAATCTCAACGGCAATAGTGTAACGTTTTCCTCCCTAGAAAGCGCACAGTACTCTGCTGGTGATGTACTGTAAACGTTCTAGTCTAGTCACCCTATGATAAACCTCAAACTAATTGCAACATAACTTATTTATGGTTTTTCATACAGGTTGGTTTATACTGTGTAACAGAAAAAAAAATCTACAAAAATCGACTTTTGGGAAGATGTTTTTTTTCGCCCGAAATATGATCAAGAAAATAAGAATAATTGCTTACTGGACCAACATTGAAGTGTTAATATTAACCTCTTGTGTAACACTGAATAGGAGGAATTAACTGTATTGAAAGACCAATCAGTGTACAATACAGATTAGCCAAAAAAGTAAATAGGAACCATCATATTGAAAAAATATCACACCATGAATATTGCTAAAAGCATTTTCCAAATGTCGAATATATTAGCTTTTGTTGCATTTTTGAGAGAGAATATTAAGTTAATCACTTAATATCTGACTTTGTAGAAATGCATTTAAAACTGATTTGTGTATTTAAGTTTCATAAATGAGAATTTTTTCTTTCACATATTATAATTTTATGAATGTTCAAAGTTGGCCTGCGGGGCTGACTGGGAGCGGTTTTTAAAGTCCAAATCGAACAATATTTCAATTCATGCCAATCTGATTAAAATCATATGTTACATGGCTTCGTTATCTTGTACTACGCCTAGACATGTAACAGATGATTTAATCAGATTGAATTCATGCATGCAAGATTTTATGCAAGTTACTCTTGGCAATAATGTCATCAAAATGGCTAAGTCCATGATTTTGGACAACAGAAATGTAAAAAAAAATTGTGTTTTATCTTGATTGCTAAATCTTTCGGCAGGAATTACCACCATAACATGGTCCTCTTGATTAAGGGGAAGTAAGGTTAATCTCGGATTTTTTTCTTTCACACAATAGAACAGAATGGAGAGATACGTAATTTTCAATAAAATGACGAAATTGTATGAATGTTGAACTTCAAATTTATCTCACAAAAACATCCATTTTATCATTGCTTTACTGGCAAAATCATTTGTAAATCGGACAAAACTGGTGCATATAAATATAGATTTTCGTTGTTCATAATCATGGACTTTGCCATTTTTTCATTGTTGAGGCAAAATTGCACGAGATGAAGTTTTCACCATCAGAGCTTGTACACTTATCTTCCCAAAATAACCATTTCCAATAAGTTCTGCACACATACAAATGGATATAAAATGCTTGTAAGCATTTGCTTGTCCCGTTTCAAATTACATGTTGCAGAAATAGGTAAATTGTTTATTTTGGACATAAGTTAACACCAAATCGGCACATTTTGTCAGTTTAGATGGTTGATATTTTTTTTGTATGTGAATGTACCATTTTTCGTGCATTAATATTAGATAAAATGTGATGTTTTAAGAAGCTAGATATAGACTCATATGGTCACCGAGTTTAAGTAATTAGTATTTTCTGCATTTAAATAGAAAACAAAAGCCAATATTGTCAAGCTCAAAATGCTTTTGAGCCATTATCATAGTTCAATCATTTTTCAATGCAATACCTCTGCTGTAACATTTTGGTAAATCTGTACTATATTTCAGTTTGTCTTGCTATACGATTAATCTTATATATCCAGTATTGATATTACACTTCAAAAGTGGTCAGATATGTGATTTTCCTTATTTTCTTGATCCTATAGAAGGTCAAAAAAATATTTTACCAAAGTTGATTCCAGGAGACTTCTTTCCCGTTATAATACCGATAACTAAAATTCCAAAAAACAAAATAAAGTCTTTTGCAATTAGTTTGAGGTTTGGGCCGATTTAGCGTAGGGTGACTAAACTATTCGACCACTCCACCTGCTGTATGTGACGGTATATCTCTATTGTATTATATGGGGCAAAGAAGTAATTCCAACAGTGTGGACAAGTTTTAGGTTGTCAAAATTTTCGGAGCGATCCGCTCCTTTATCAAGACACAGTGAAACAGAACAGTTACATGTACATCATATTACAAGAAGATAGAATTGATATACTATAATTGAAAATATAGCTATTGTATAACATGTATATGTATATATATGTATTGTATTATACATATATATTGTTGGTGTACACCACAAAAAACAGCTACGGAACAAACGTTATATTTTGTTTATTACATACATTGTATAACAACAATATTCAGATAACTATTCATGTGGCTCATTTTCATAAATAAAAAGTAAGTAATGTTTGTGTACACAGTATAATCTCAAATGTTTTATTTAAAACACTTTTTTTAACGGTATTGTATCTGTTACACCAAAATTATGCAAAATGTTCTAGTGAGAAGTTGAGAATAATACAGTTTACACTGGTCCCAAACGTTGGAATGATGACGACACAAAAATTCTGGTTAAGGATGAAGGTCCTCCAGCTAGGCTTCATTTCTTGCAGGAGCAGCCAGCTTGACATTTACATGATGATGGTCCGGTGCACTTATTGCCACAGGAGCAAGACCCTACAATATAACAAGTGGAATGTATTATATCAAACAGCACAGTGAACTTAAATACCACGGTCTTTGATGGTGACAATATAACAGTCATTGGTTACAGAACAATCCAATTTATTATCATGTCTCATAGCAATTATGATTTCACTGTTTTTCTACTTGATCATTAGTTGAAAAAAAGTTGCACATTTAAACAGAGTAACTTCTTTGTGGTACATATTGATATTAAGAAATGTGCACAAATTTATTAAAACAAACAACATGTATCTTTGCCAAATGTCGAACATTATATTTGTTTTTTGGTAAAATACAATGATAATGGTGTAATAACTTGTGTTCAATGCTATTTCAGTAACATGAGGTAATAAATCATTTTAAATCAAATAGATCGTTAACACAGTTTAACTTACCGGAACAGGAGCATCTACATTTTGGACATGCGCATTTCCCATCACACTTGCAGGAATCAGTCCCACAGCACTTTCCGGTCTGACATTCTACCGAACATACGAACTTGGCACCTGTCAATGAAAACAAAGGGTGGACGTGGTAAAGACTTAACGTGAGGCAAACATATGACATAAGGGTTTTTGCCAGCTAATTTGGGAAAGGGCCCCTGATCAGGAATTGGGAAAATATCATCGGTATTTGGAAAAACTAGGATAATTTCAAAATTAAAACCTACAATGCGATTTGCAAAAAAGCTGTTTTTTTACAGCAAGATGTATAGCAATAAATAAACACGTCAATTTTAGGTGTTTTTGTGAAATCAAGATGTTTAAAAATGATAATATTTTATTATATCACCCTCAGGTAACAATCAGAAGACAATTTCACTGTCAATGACAGAATGTAATTGTGATGTCATAACTATTCAATTCTTACTGACACTCTATGAAAACGCCTCCGGGCGGCTCTGAACCAACGATTGTTTGATATTCTCGTCCAAGGTGAGTTAGTTATAATATTTGTGTCGTGTGTGTTCAATAGCTCACCTTCACACTGGCATCCTCCCTTGCAGCTTGGACATGGGCAATTAGCTCCACATTTACACCCCTCCCCACAGGCGCAGTCTGGTCCAGGCTGACACAGGCCATCGGGGCAAGTCATGGTCTTACCTAGAATAAATGGACACCGTTTCATTAGTCAAACTATAACTTCAGATCGTGAGCTTAAATAGGTTTCAACGTATACACATAATAATATTGCGTTAATCGTATTATATCACATCATCGATATCCAGGGGTTACGCTCATTTTCGCTCCCTAAACCCCTGGAATATGTCATAGCAAAAAAGAAGGCTCAATATGCAGCACCTTGTGGATGAGCATCCTCGATATCCAGGGGTTCCGCTCCCTTTCGCTCTTGTAGAGAGCTAAAGTGAGCGTAACCCCTGGATATCGAGGATGATTTTATCATTGATTGAATGCATTTTTTAATGTTTTCAAAACATCGTCATTAACACCACCATCACAAAAACAAAATGTCTTAAGGTCTTTAACATTTCCCCCAGTTTCCCAACTTAATAAATATGATCTTACCAAAACATGCGCACTTGACCTTACATCCGGGACAGCGACAGTCAGAGCTGCAGCAACTTGATCCATCGCAGCACGTTCCAGAACATCCACATTTGCCTCCTGGGCATTTCTCACAGAACGCAGCTGACGAATAAAACAATGTAAAAGTCAGCTTTCCCGAAGTCAGTTTAATTGGAGCTAATTAACTTGCTTTGTAAACTTTTTATTTTAGGATCTAAAACATCAAAATTACACATCTGGTTCAAAACAAGTTTCAATGTATCAATTCGAGTCTTGGGAATCATTTTAAACAATAATAATAATATTTATTCAGGTAAAATAGGCATTGCATTACAAAATATCACAATTTAGAATAAAATATATAATTTTATATACAAAACACAAGTAAGATGCATATTATGGCTGGTAGGGTCGAGGTATTTCCCGTTTAACGAGGGATTGTGTCAAAGACACCATTGCAGCATAATCACTCGCACGAATGGCTACACACTGAACATCCATGTAAAACATCAGCATGTTTTACTTAGCATGCATACCTATGGATAGATGGCAAACGCCTAATATAACCTGAAAACTTTAACCTGATGGTTTCGGTTTAGAAAAGTAAAAAAAAATGTAAAAAAATAAAAAATGAAATAATAATAAACATCAATGCGTTAGACCTTGTAACACTTCCATGTGTAAAATGCAAACTAACACATATTCCAAGAAAAGAAAGGGTGGAGATATTTCCGTCACATCAATACAATCACAAGTTAATTCCGATCGTGTTTAAATGACAGCACGTGTAAGTTAAACCAGTAAATATCTACATGTCCCGACTCCCATTTTATCAAAGGGAGGTGGCATTTGTATCCCTAAGGACAGCAGTGTGTAGGAGTGTTGTGTCGCGCCCCTGTGTTCTATACTGAACCAAGATATGTATACACTTACCTTCAGACATCTTAGATCAGATTATTTCCTCCCAAATGGACGTGGAACAGATAGCTAGGTTGCTTTGAGTATGTTCGAAAGAAACGTGACGTTCAATTTATACTAAATGGGATTTTTCGAACTCGTGTGCAGACGATACGTGTGCAATGTTTACGTCGTGTGCAACTCGGTCAATGAACTACAGGCCGTGTGCACAGAACACGAGAAACATTGAATGAATTATTGGGGCCGTGTGAACAAGCCGCCGTGTGCACAGCCGTAGTAAAACCTGTTGATATAAAATATGTGAAACTAATAAAATATGTTTACAAATGTGATGCAAAGCACTGTTAGCTTTGGCCAGGTATGGAATAATCATATTGGTATTATTTTCACATGGTTTGATCGTAACAAAATAGAGTATTGGATGTTGATTAATGACCATTCAGTCAAAACAACACAACATGGCACCTTCTACATGAAAGTCAATATTGTTATTGTAAACAGTCAAAGGTGTGGCTGTTAGCCAAGATAGCGCGATTTCATATCGATCAATAGGGAGCGTCGACGTCAGCAAATTGGTGACGAATTCCATTACTTGCTTGAGTGTCCGTCACTATCTGGGTTTCGAATTTTATACATAGACAAATATTTTTGGACGAGACCAAATGTAATTAAGTTTAATGAATTGATGAATACTACTAATATAAAAACACTGAAGAAACTTTGTACTTTTATTAGAATAATTAATAACAGTATTTGACCTCCTCGATATAAATGTGTATATATTATAAAACAGTACTGTGTACTACCGACTACGAACACTACAATTACTATATATTATATTGTAAATATGTTTCTCTATACATTGTATTGTGAAAGAGAATAAAGTTGAATTGAATTGAATTGACGTCCATGATGACAGAATCAGCCGCAACATCTACAAACACAACTACGTATATCCAGGGACAGTATATAGAGGGGATTGGCAACTCTGCCCCAGTCAAGATTCTATAACTGTTAATTATGATAAAACTAAAATTGTAATTTTTTGAAAAAGTAAAAGAATCTTACCTACTGAAAACTGGACGTTTAATGGCAAGTCAATTGAGATAGTGGACAAATTTTGATATCTAGGATTAGTTTTTTATTATAATGGAAGATTCACCGTAGCACAAAACACGTTGGCATCTCAAGGCAGGAATGCTTTTTATCTTTTAAAAAGAAGAATGAAAGATTTTATCCTTAATACTGAAACTAAATTATCTTTGTTTGATACATATGTGACATGCATACTGAACTATGGATGTGAGGTATGGGGTAATTGTTTATCGCCGCAAATCGAAAAAGTCCATCTTCTCTTTCTTAAAGATTTATTAAACGTTAAGAAAACCGTCAATAGTTCTATGGTTTACTTTGAGACAGGAAGTTATTCCTTACATATAAAGCGCAAAGTAGCTATAATTAAATACTGGTTAAATATTTTGAATACAAATAACTGTGTACTAAAAGCATGCTATGATGCACTACTTGAGCTTAATGTCAAAAAGCCGAATTGTAAACTTAACTGGGTTTATCATGTTAAAAATGATTTATATAGAATGGGTTTTAATCATATTTGGGATGTTCAATATGTTCCAAATGAAAAACAATTTGTGGAAATGTATACCCAACGTCTGCATGACGTATTTATTCAGGAATTACGTGGTGCGTTTGAAACATCTTCTAAATGTTATTTATATAGACATCTTGTCGATACTTTTAATATGCAATTCTATTTAGTAAAGCCTTTAACATTTAATACCAAAAAAATNGAACACTTATCGCGATTGGTTTGTTTTCACGCCAACTTCTGTATCTAACGAAGCTGTATCGACGCCATCTTGCTTTGTCAAAATTGAGATAGGTGGCGCTCGCTATCTGCTCCTGAATCAGGGGGAGGTAAGTCTAGATTGACGTGTCATAAGATTGGTAAGGCAAAGAGGGAGTTGCTAATCCCCTTCACTATACGTCCCTGGTATATATATGTACAGATACACCGAAAGGCCATTTTCTTCCTCCACAAAGAGGACATGTAAGAGACCCAAAATGATCTGTTGTCCCATTGGAACACTTGTGATCTTTTTCGTTTCCTGTCTACTTTCACATTAAGTCTTTCTTTCTACTTTCTCTTTCCGGTGATGACTCCGTCCCGAAGACCATGGCTGGTGCAAGTTAAACTCCAAACAAAACAAACACACGACGATAAAAGTTTAAGTCAATATATCACGGACTTAGATAATCTAATTCCGTGGGTATATGTTTAATACTGATAAACCAAACGTGACGCTTCGTGGATGAGTTGTGTTTGTAAAGAATGTTCTTGACGATTGTGTGGCACATGTGATTTAACATATTATATTGCATAAGTTATATCAACATTACAATTAAAGGCCCTCTCCACAATAAATTTTACATAATTGAGAAATAGCATAATTTGATCACAATGAATACCATTTTATCATACAATAAATGAAATAATACAAGAGATATAAATATGATGAGCTAATGTCATATCACATTACAAAATGTAACTACTGTGATGTGTGGCACAACCAAACAAATGTAAAGCAAGATCTGTTAACGTTTACACTCGTTTTCCTTTATGACCAATTAATTCAATCGACAGTAATTAATACATGTATAAACAACCTGGATGTTTAAAAAATAGCTGAAAGTGGAAATTACCGATAAAAATGTACTTACATTAATTAGCAATGTTCAGAACTTGAAGCTATAAACGCCCGACTGAAACCAGGAGACGGAGAGAAAAGAAAGGGTTTGTATGTTAAGTGATTTACACGAAATCGGAGACGAATTCCATTACTTATTAAGTGTCAGAACCAATATCTTGTATGCATTCAACCTCGATTCCTCATTGTTACTTTCTATATTTCTATATGTAGTCTTTCAAACTATAGCATTACCAGTGTTTTGGTATTAGAC